CTCTTACAGGATGGGGAAAATTGGTCTTGGCGGAGGTTTGCACTCTCCGAGTGCTTCTAGTTGACATTTTATTCGGCCACAACAGTAATAATTTCAAGAAGACATTTCATGAAAAAAAATCCACTATTTTAGTCATTAAATGCATTTTGTTGTGTGTTTTGAGTCTCTAGGAGTGCAGAAATATTTAGTGTCTCCTGGTGCTGCAAAGATATATTTATATTCTGTTTGGGTCATATTTTTCAACCCGTTTGGTTTTCTCAGTATTCTATGATGTTTTCTGAACTATTACATCACAGCGTTTGCAACAAAACTGCCAAACAAATTACTACAAAGTTGCAATTGTAATTGCATAAGTTTAATGTGCCTGTAAACACTTGTTTTATCAAGATCTAAGCCTAAATTTTACTGTTCACTGTTATTTCTGAGTTTTCATATTTTCATTAATCATGACGGACGCGAAGTGATTCCTGTTAATGTTTTAACTCATAAAGTTCTGATGTACAAACTAATGTGAATAATAAGTAGTTTATTTTATTCTGTAAATAAATATAACTTATTTTAGAAAACTTGAACTACTGAAATGACAAATTATTGTGTGTGTGTTTCTCACTTTCACTACAGAGAAGTGTTACAGAGCTTAGTTCTCTTACAACTACAATTTGGTGGCCTTCATTCTCCTCTGGCTCCAACATGTAAGGCTGGATGGAACTGGATTTATTTAATTGGGAATCAAACGTTCCTGCGCAGCTATATAGCCGTAAACCCCTCTATCAAACTAGAATGGACCACTCTGGAAGCTGGAGGGGGGGCGGGGTGTGAAGCGCATCATTTGGATTTAAAGAGACAGYCTCAAAACAAGTTGATCAACTCAGAAAATGGGTGAAAGAGGGGCTTGTGGAGTTACAATAAGGAGGTATTCAAACCAAAGCATCACAGTTCCACTTTATATAGACCCCAACTGTTAATTAATGTGAAAAAGAAGGGTTTAGAAGCAAATGTCTCCTTTAAATATGAAATAGTTTCATGGTTTATCTTTTTGTCACATTCTTCTCATGACAGCTGGCCAAGTGTCAATCCAAGAAAATTACCGTATTTAATCACGCATATTACGATCATCATTTTTTTAAACTTAAAAAGCATAAAAAATTCAATCAACAATAACCCATGTATAATACTACCCCTACTTTATGGATGATTTTTAGGGTTAAATTTCTAGGATTCTACATAAATGAATACAGTGGGTTTGAATTTTTCAGTAATCTTTGATTTTGCTGAGGTAAGGTCAATAAAAAAATCAACTTTTTATATTTTAAAGTCAAATAATTGAAGTTTAAGTRAGGGTTGCTGGATTCTGATGAAATGCATCTTTAAGATATAAAAAATGAAAAAGCAGTTGATAGAGCAGGGCATGAGAAATGAACGTTTTTCTAAATTTCAGTCAGGTATGTACCAGAAAAACTACTAAAAGGGTAACAAAAAATCCAAAACACACAGAGAACAGTGCCTTGTAGTGGCAGACTGATCCAGGCTGATCTCCTTGAACAATCAGCACTTCACATTTGGCAGGAGATGCAAACTCCCCCCAGCCATCAGCAACAAAACAAATGTATTTTTTTGTTTGTTTTTGAATATGCAATGCTAATAAACTCAGAAACCGAGAGATTTCTGCATCCTTTTCATCATGTCTCTTTAAAGAGCCAAGGTCCTCTGTCAGTCACACGCTGAGGGAGCGGCGCCGCCTTTGAAGTCTCACTCTCCCTTCTCTTAGATGTACCTCATTTCCATTCTCCACTGCAAAAATCATTTGTATTAATGGTGGACTAATGCATGCGCGGAAAGGAGCGAGCGAAYGTGCGCCGCGGAGGGAGGTGGGTTTAGAGGAAGCAGATGGAAAGACAAAGGCAACGAAAGAGAAAAAGAAAGAATACACGACTCAGACACACAGGAAAAAAAATAAAGTCTTCAGAGGCTTCAGAGCACCTCCGCAACCTTCACTCTTCTCTTGAGCACAAAAACAGAATATTTAATGAGAAGGTTTCAAACTGAAAAACAACTCCCAGCAGAGCAGAAAACAAGTGAAGCAAAAGAGATTCCAACAAAGTAATCACGAGAACATAAACATCTTGTTCAGTAAAAGGAAAAATAAGTTCCGCGTTGGTGCCTCGTTTCCAAACATTACAGAATTTCACAGTTGGATTTCGTTCTTATCTAAACATGCAAATTTAAAGCAAGCAAAACAACTGATGCAAATCCACTTTGGCGTTTGGAAATAGGTTTCGTGACGAAGCATTACATTTGAGCTTTAGATTTTCAGAGCAAGGTCAGCTCCATAAAAACTACATTTTATGTTGTGAAACGTTACGCCGAGTCGAGACTCACACCAATACWTTCCTGTTTATAGTTCCATAAGTAACTTTTGTTTTTTAAACTATAACTCCTTCATGCTATATTTTTTAAAATAACCTTTACATACAATAAAGGTTRTAGCATTACTCTTAAATCCTTGCAAAAATCTGTTCTAAAATTGACTTCATACTAGTCTCGTTCACAAGACAGTTCTGTTAGATTGCCGCACAGACCGGTCCGGCTTTAAGCTCCCTCGGTTCATTCATAAATCAGAAATGAACCCAGCAGTGTGACACCAAAAGAGGATCTCAGCTCAGCTGAACTGAACCGCGATGTATTTATTGTGCGACCGACTCATATCAAACAAAACAAACTGACTAACAAACTTACTTTAGTCATCATGTGGTTCAATATGTTTTAAACTAAATACAAAGTTACTGTTCTGTGTTGTCTTTAATAGTCCCTCGGTAATAAATCTGTTGAGTTGAATTGAATTGAATTGAATTCAATTCAATTCAGTTTATTTATATAGCGCCAAGTCACAACATACGTTGTCTCAGGGCACTGTACATAAAAAGACTAATCTAAAGAAGAAACCAGCAGGTTGTGTTGAATCACTTCATCACAGTCTCCCATCCTGAGCAAATGGTGGAGAGAAAAAACTCCCTGCTAATCAGGAAGAAAGCTCCAGCAGAACCAGGCTGAATAATCCTGCAATCACTCACTGACAAATAAAAAAAAAAAAAACAGGATCAACTTATTTTTGCGATCCTGTGGTTCAATATTTTTAAAATAACTACAAAGTTGTTGTTTCGTGTCATCTTTAATATTCCCTCAGTAATAAATCTGTTTGTTGATTAATCCTGCAGTTGCTCACTGATGTCATCAGCTCATTATGATTTCCTGGGCCACAGAACCGCAGGTTGCTTTTTCACAAGTCGGTCAGCCCTCTCTTGGCATCTCAGAGGGGCATCAGAGGTGGGCACACTTTACTCGCCTTTTTTCTGAATGATCCRARGACAGAACACGCGTCAGTCCCGRACAGAGCCGTCTTATGAATGAGGCTTTTAGCTACTTTTCCGATGATTTTCTATCTTTTCTGATCATGTTTTAGCTATCCTGCTATTTTGCATGTTTTAGATTTTATCTACCGATTTGCTAATATTAGCTTTGTTTTGTTTTGTTTGCTATAACAATTCAGATTCAGCTTCTTCAACACTCAGCATTCTGCATTTTTGTGGGAAAAAGCTGGTCTTTTCCTATTCTCAACCTTCAAATACATTTTTAAAATGTAACCGTTTATTTATTTTTTAATCCTAAAAACAAAACTGGTAACAAATTCAGTGTAAAGGCTCTGTTCCACTACGACGTTTTAGATAACTTGTGAAAAGTTTGGAGACATCTACGTTAAAGATGGAATTAAAAAAATTAACAGGAAGCTTCTTTTAGACGTGTACATACAGTAATTCTAAAAAATGGATCAAATATATAACGTATATTAGTCATTCAGTGGAAAAATATTTCATAAGTTGGCATAACTTGTCTAAAACATCATCGTGTGACAGGGCCTTAAGGTAGAAAGGTAATGAACACTATCACATTAGTGTCATATCTTCATTTCTTTATTTTCAGATAATTGTAACTTACAGAAAATCCTTCAKATGAGAAAAACTAGGCTGTGTTGATTAGTGAACCCACCGTTCATGAGAGCGTAAGTCAGGATCATGACAGAGTTGTTGAGGTGTCGGTTCTCCTCTCTGACCACACTGAGGGTGGCTCTCTTCTCCAGCTCTGACGCGTCTCGAGACGTAACACCAGACGACAGGTAGATGATAACCACGTCTGTAGCTGAGAGAGGACAAAACGGTTCTTTTAATATCAGCCAGACTAATAAGGCGGCTTGAAGATAATCTATTAAAGACCAAGAAGCTGGACTGGATCTTCAAAAACAGTCTCAGTCAACAGCCTGAGCTCTGACTTACTGCTGCTCTGTTTACTGAGACTGCTGGTGTTGCGAAGCAGCTGGAAAGCTTTCTGGAAGCCAGCTGCGTGCTGGGTGGCTCCATTAGAGAYCTTGATGTTGGAGATGAAGGTGCTCATCTTCCTCTTAGTCTCGCTGGTGGCTGGAGASAGCAGACTCTTATAGCACTGGTCCAGAGAACAGGAGCGAACGGTCTCTGCCACAGACAGGACGGAGATCTGRGGAGGAGCAACACTGCATTTAAAACTAGACGTTAACAACTCCTCCTGGTTTGAAAACTTGTAAAAAAAATATAAGCGGTCTTAAAAGAGGGGTATCATAATTCAACTCTAAACCACAATTGAGGAACAGTTACCTTCAGTTGTTATGAAAAAACTGTAGATATTAAAAATAAGTTTGACTTGCATCATAGTTCTTGAAAATGGCCTCTGYCWCTTTAAGAACCTCCTACCGTTTCTGACACTCCYACTTCAGCAYGTCTTWATAACAATGTTTCATTGGAGRGGTGCTCTGTGGGGCGGGAGCTTGACTGCAGACTGAATTCCAGGGGAGGAGCTTTSTACAAATAGGCRGAGCTTTRYAGCAGTTTAGGCAGCYCCACATGGCTACCACAGAAGGATTTCTCAAACATACATGAATGAGTCAAAGCAACACTCTGGGTATGTTTCTGATGAGGGACTGGCATTATAACATGATATAAAGCTAAAAAAAAGTAGTCAGTTTTGCATAATACTTGTCCCTTTATCAGTTAAAAAAAGAAAAAATGAAAACCTTGTCATGTTCATCAATGGCGTTGAGGATGACCAGCGCAGAGTCCCGGGCGATCTGAAGCTGGGTGTCAGTTATGGACGCTCCATGATCCACCATCACAACAATGTGTTTGGACTGTGGACGGACTGCAGATACGTACACAGGTCTACAAGAACATGCAAAAAACAAAAAAAGTGTTGGGTTATTATTATTATTTTTTGGATGGACACTATAATCTCAGTATCCTTGCAGAGTTAATATCCCAAAACCACACAGAATGTATATAAAGTCAAACAACAAAACGTTTGAAGATTTAAAGACCATTGGGCCTCATGCAAGAACCGTTCGTACGAACAGATTAGTTCTTAAGTTGTGCGTACAAATTTGTGRCATTCACCATTTTTCTTGTATTCCAAGATTTTTCTTCAGATACGAAATAAAATTTACGAGTGGTCCAGATCTGTCGTATATTTTACGAGCAGTCAGTCTGCTGTTATTCAAACTGATTTTCTTCACTAATAACTTTATATTTCATTGGTTTGAAGATATTTCGAGTTGAAAATAAATCACATTCCCTAATTATGTTGACAAGAGGCTATTCTGCTTGAATTAGAATTATAATTTTAAATGTAATAACGTAGACTAAGGACATAAAATGGTTAAATTAAATTAAATTGGCTATTAATGCTGTCGTATAAC